AACTGAGAAGGAATTGTGAGATGTTCAAAACAAGAGGATAGGACAGGGAGGATACTGTCTCTTGATGAAGCTGTATGCTTTGTTGAAGTAGGTGATGGTCCTTGAGCACCAATAAATGGTGCATCTTGTGTAGAGGATTTGGCTGCTTGGCTTGAATGTGATGAGACGATTGATGTGCTTGTTGAAGTGCCAACAAATGAGCTCCTTGGAGCTGTTGTTGATGGTGAAGGCAAGGGCCTTGGTGTTTGGACCATCACCAAACAGAATGAGCCCTTCAGAGCTGCCAAGCATGTGTGTTGTGCATGCCAGAATCATCTCAGTGTTGAGACCATGCACCTCCTGTGTATGAAATACACAAAGGAGGAGCATCAGGCACACAAGTAAAGAGTAAAGAAAGGAAGGTACCATGAGGAGGCTGGCAGCCTCAGTGACCGCCTCACCTCCTTCTGTCTCTTCTTCCTCTTCTTCCACATGCATCTCATATTTGGTGCTGTGCTGGTCTTGTGCACTACATGAAAACAAATTGAGAAACAATAAAAGAAGCTTTACATACAACACACATACCTCAAGGCAAGCGTCATCAATGTAGAGCTTGCCTCGTACTTGTCACAAGCAATCTTCCTTTGCATCTCCTCCTTCATCTGCTTCTGCTTGTATCTAAGCAGATGAAGGAAGGGGTGGAAAGGAAGTGAGTAGGCGCAAAAACATAACAGGAAGCAGGAGGCACAATTACCTCCTGTGATAGTACATCAAAAAGATTTGAAAAAGGAGCACATGCTCCTTGTCCAGGTCAAAAGCAAAGTTGATCTGGTGCGTGAAGAGCTGGAGGTAGAAGTTGTTGATTGTGCTGTCTGGGTTGTTTGTGTAGGCTTCATCCTTGAAGCCCTTGTGCATGTTGTTAAATGACCACATGCAGATTATGGCAACATAGTACTGTTCTACATGATTGCCAAAGAAGAGATGTTGATCATTGACATCAACAATGTCTTGTTGGTCTACATGAAGATTCAGAGGGTACACCTGCAGCCACATCAGTAGATTAGCAACACAATCACACAATCACACAATGACACAATCACACATACCATCTTGAGGCCACGCCATTGCACTACATCCTTGCATATCTGTTTCCACTTGTTTTTATCTGCATAATGATGCAGCTTCCTCTCACATTCAGCCCTTGAGGGTGTTAGAAATCTGAAATGAAGTAAATGTGAAAGTGATTGATGTACGCCAATGGGTGTGGCTTGCGTTTCTTTCACAATCACCTCTTGTGCTCCTTGGGGCAATGATACTTGGCAATGCTGCCATACCTGCATGGGTTGCATGATTAGCCCATTGGGGGGACAGCGATGGGGAGGAAATGTACTCCATTTTCAGGCATTTCAGCTTGGCCACTGGAGAAAGGTGAGATTAGTGCAATGGAAAGCTACTCATCAAATCATGCACTCTATCATCTACAGCACAAATCAAGGCACAGAGGCCCACTCTGTTTTATTAAATCAAAGGGCAAAGCTCTCCCTGCCTCTTGAAGAGCCCCTACATGCATGGCGTCACTGAGGGGTGGGAAGGAAAAGAAGATCAGGCTGTCTCAGGCCGCTTTCCATGGCCACTTCTTGTTGACAAATGCGGCATTCCTCAAATGCCTCAGTCAGAGCAGTCATTTCATGCAGTTGAAAGTAAATATTCCAAACAGCATCCAGGTTCTCCTTCCCATCCACAGCAAAGTAGCAGCTACCCCAGACCAGAAGCCCCATCAATCACCACCATCAACATGAAGAGAACCAGTAGCACACCAATCCACACCTCCAAATATGGTACACTCACAGCTCTTCA